GAGCCTAAAAAAACATTTTGCCAATCTTTCTATTTACTTATTTTTATGTGTATTAAGCAGATTATTGAAAAGAAAGACAAAACGTCACACATATATTTATCTATATTCATAAGAATATGAACACTACAAAACTGGAAAAGCAGTAATCAGTGAGAGAAAAAGAGATAATGATCAAACATTGCCTAAATTCCTCACAACGGGTTATAGATGACAAAACAAGTTTCTGCACGCTGTCGTCGTATATCCTTCTGAAACAGGGATAACAGGGACAGTGTCTCTTATTTGTTTTTTTACGAACCCTATATGCAAGACAGTCTCCTAAAAACTTTGAGCTGGGACAGCTAGAGTTTGTTTATCGACCACTAAAAAATCTTGGAGAATTTGCTGCAATCGAGCAAACCTGGATATAAATAATTGTTTCATATAATTCACTATCAGACAGTGAGTTGTCATGCTTGTGCAATGGGACTTCCTGTGTTTGCGTTTCCTTGTGTTCATTATTGCCATAACATTAAATTTTCTAAAATTAGAATATTACGTATTCTATTTTCTATTCTATTTTCTACTGTACTTGTGAAACTAATTCAAAATATCTGGCTTTTACTCTTACTATACAGTCATAGTAAAAAGAATGGACACCCTTTTAAATTCAGGAGTCAATCAGGGGACCGTAAAAATTCATCAGGTCCTTATCAAATTTAAATAATATTAAAAACAAACTCAGATTAACAACAAGACATGACATATTACATCATGCCATTGTTTCACAACAGCGAAGTCAATGTGCAGACGCAGTGTGTGGAAAACTAAGCAGTCCAACCAACGTCTGAATTTTACCTGAAGCAATGCAACATCTTGATTATTTTCTTTCTCATCTCTCACATTGTGGATTTGATGATGTGCTTGGGACCATTTTCCTGTTTTATGACCCAGTTTTCGGCCAGACTTTTGCTGTTTGCCTAACATTTGCCTACAGAATCACGGACTGCAACGTGGCCAATTTCTGTGCCTGCAAACCAAACCCAAATTATCACCCCTCGTGAAGTGTGCTATGAAGTGTTTTTCTGCTGATAAGCTTTGTATTTTCCAACTGTGGCACTGTACATTAGCGCCAAACATCTCCACGTTGGTCTCATCTATCCAAAAAATGTTTGTTCAGATGCAGCTTTGCAAACTTCAGCTGTGCTCCCAGGTTCTTTTTTCAGATAAGGCGGTTTCGCCTGGCAGCCTTTCCAAACAAGCCATACTTGTTCAGCCTTTGTTAAATTAACTGTCACAAACTTAAACATTGACGTCTTTCCTTTTTGATATCTTGAAACACACCTGAATACTCCAGACCAGCAAAATGCCACAACTTTAATTAATTAATCAAGCGCATTTGACTAGCAGCACCGGGCTGCAACTTGCCCTCTTTGGTTCTACAGTTCTAGTTTTTCACACACTGCTTCTGCATTTTGGCATGACAGCATGTTATGCTGCATGCTTTTTAGTTCATCTGAGGTTTCAGTTAAATCATATTAGAACCTGCTAAGAATTGGTTTATTTTTATTGATTTCACAACAACTGCTGCTTCGCTGTAATATTAATAACTGTTAATGTTTGAGTGATATTAGTCTTTGTCACAAGACTGAAAATCCTAGGGAAATGCCAAGCCAGCTTGATTTTACCCTGCTGGTTATTGTGGTATGCATGTGTCTACAAGTGCTTTGAGGAAGTAACTTCACAAACACATCTGTGTCGTTAAAAAAAAAAAAGAAAGAAAAGAGAAAAAACAACTTTGGTTGAGCTTCACTCAAAAGTGGTTCAGGATGAAGCATCATTAAAATTAGCACAAAACAAGTCTAATGGTTATACTTGTTAGGTGGAAAGCACCAGAGATTCACCAAGTGTATTACCAACACATACAGTCCCCTCCCCCCTCGGCCCTCTCTTGCGGTTTTTGCATGTTAGATCTCTTCATGGCCGTGTCATCTATGTAGGGAGGAACAGTTTTGCATCGTCTGCATCCCTCCCTGAGTGCTACACCCTTTCCTGGCCGTGGGACAGTGTTAACGCCTATATTTCTTTAGCACGTGATCGGAATTTTAAGCACATTTTAGTGTTAATCTTTTTTTTAACATCCCAACACAAACCATTTTCTCTTGGCAAGCACATTTCCAATGTGCTCTCCAAAGGTGGACCAAACAGCTTATTTATCTTATTTTGCACCTGATGTGGCTCTTATGGTTGCCAGTGAGTCATCGCCTGAAATTTTAGGGTATTACAGCCAGCCATGGCACCAGTTTGCTTTTTTCAACAGACAGAGTTTGTGGCCTCAATCTGATGTATGTTAGATTAATGTTGTATTAACTTTGTCTACATTTGTGCAGCTTAAAACAGAAGCGAAACATGAGTTGTGTTCATTTTTTGCGCATCTTATTGGTCACTTTTTACACACAGACTTTATATACTTTGTAATAAATCAGCCAGGTTTTAGATTAGGCTGAAGTTTCTCCTGAACTCTCATATTTATCCAATGATTCCACACATTCATTCGAACAGTCACAAGCAATTTTTTTCAGCTTTATGTCAAAACCATCACTTCTCCTTCAGCTGCCTTTCACTGGTCTGAATCATCACTGTGCCACAGTGCTCCTAAAATTGTTAAAATTAAACCAATTAAATTAACTAATTAAAATATCTGCCATCTGGTGCTTCTAGAGTTGTCTTGAATAAAAGCATTTTTGCCATCCGTGTGTCAAAATTTAAGGTTAGATCACAAAAATTTCAAGTTAGCTCTTCAATTTTGAGTCATTTTCTCAGACGTCAAAATTTTGACATAATAAGCTTAATTTGGTCTTATGTATTGAAAAAATGTTTTTCAGTGGCAGAAACAAGCTTCCATACCCTTGACAGTCAGAGGTATCAACATTTTATTGAAACTGACTGTGCTTCTGTGACATATTTAAGCTTTTCTAAAGGGATAACAAAGAGAAAATGCATTTATTTAAGAACTGCAGACAATAAAGAGAACCGCATGCTTTAGACAAAATCACAATGGTGTCATGTAACAGGAACTAAACTAAAAATGCACAACCTTCCCACCTGGTGATTCACTACTGTTTTTTTCCTCTTTGTATGCACGATGCACTTTCAATTAATTCTGGTAAATCTATGTTTAGACTGGGGTCATGTTAACAATCCATTAAGATTTGTCTTATATTCAACAAGATCATCAAGGTCAACATGATGTTTTGGTCAACAATTGACAGAAAGTTTTACATTTTCCACTTTTATTACGTAAACAAAGTATATAAGAACTAGCAGAACAAACAAGAGGTCATGTGTTGCGATAGCACGAAGTGAATTATGTAGTTACGCTCGTATATAACAAGTAAGAGTCGTTAATGATCTGTCATACTGGCAAGATAAGAACGCCATTTTTTTCCATTGCCTTTCACCCAAATATTTTTGTAGAGAGATCGATTAAGTCATTTGCTGATATTTAATTATGTTAGTAAAAAGCCAACATGACTTTCAGAAGATAAGCTTCATATTTACCCGTACTTTCCGGGATATACCCGAGATGTAGAGATAGACGCTCATGTTAACAGAGATACGCAGGGTTTGTGAAATGAAGCAGCAACATCCTTCCAAAAGAATGTTATAACCGTTTAACTAATGCATGTACAATGTTCCTGAATAAGTATATATTTTAAACAAAATAAACATGTTCCAAACTTTTTTCACTTCATATTTATTACTAATCATTTAAACAAATGTTACCAAACAATGCAATGTATGCTTCACACATACTCTATCTGCATAAATAAAAAAAATAATTATGCTCAAATTATGTCTAGTATATATGAAATGGGTTTCAACTAGTCAAATAACAAATAAACACTTTACACTTTGTTAAAATGTGTATTAAAAGAACAAAGGGGACAAAATAATATATAGAAAATACAAATAAATCCCCTTAAAAGTAAATACTGCCCAGAGAGTGAGCTGCTGTGGTGTAGGTTTGCGTTTGTTAGAAGGTAGTGCGTCTTGTTTGTGTGCTTCGAAAGCAGCAAACTTGATGTTCAGCATGGGTGTCCTGATAAAATCAGCACCTATTCAGCTCAGTTTTGTAAATAAATAAAAGAATATTTGGTACATTCACAGTTTGGAAATAATATTCAACTAATGATAATTAGTCCACTCTAAACAGGTCTCTACACTGTAATAATGTGTAACTTTTTGCCTGTATAATCAGCATTAGATTCACCACTTTCTTACTGAAACCTTTCAGTTCTTGATACATTATAAAGTGATTCCTTAAATTATGTGTCTGCACCGAAACTGGAAATTTTGTGGGTAGGAAACCTGAATAAAAAGGGTACAAATCTTGCACTTGACCCTGACGTTTGTTGGTTAAATGCTAACTAATTGCAAAGGCAATTTAGCTTACCAGCTTGTGTAAATTGGACTGAATGCAACATAGATACTGTTCTTTGTTGTACCGGGGAGCTAATAGTGTCAGGAGTCCCAGCAGAAAATCTAGGTTCAAATGCATAACAACGCATTACTTACACCATATCTGCCTCTTGCTAAATGCTTTTTCTTATTTGCCTTGACTTGTCATTGCGCCATCTTTGACCTCTAAGTGTTTGTTTTGCCATTACAAGGTTTATGTTGGTACTAAGCAGATGCCATTATTTCTTTTTTGCTATTCCTGCTGGTTCAAATCATCTTTTCATCATTTAGAGACTGAACACAACGACAGCAGTTAAATTCACGTGGACATGATTTAACATGAATAGTACCTGCATGACATAACTGGCAACATGGAAAAGATTCTTTGTGTTGTCGGTGTTTATACATTAAGTTAAATAGAGTCAATGTATGCCATTTATGTTGGACGTTTGCCTTAAGATAAGCTGGAATTGTATTTAATCATTATTCTTTGTTCTCTCTCTCCTCCTTTTTGTTTGTTCGTTTTCTTTGTTTTGTTTTGGTCTTGGTGTTTTTCAAAGGATGATCTTCAGTGGATCAAAAGTAGCCCTGGCATGGTTCACCTCTACATCGAAGATCAGACAAAGGAAGGACAGAGTCTGATGGTTGTCTATCGACAAAGGAACTATGCCTTCAGCAAAGAAGGAAACAGACAAAGACATGTCTAGAAAAATATATGTTCATTTCAACATACAGAAAAATGAAGTCTGCAGTCTGTGCTTATAGTTTCACATCTTTTTTTGCGTGTATGTGTGTGTGTGGTTTATTTCCCAGATGGTATTCCAGTCTCGGGTTTGAAACCACAGAAGCTCTCACACCCTCTTTGTATCTTCATGGTGTAGCTTTTGACTGTTTAAAACACAATGTGTTTAAACTTCTGCTGCTGATGCCGTATTGTCGCGGGACTTCGTACTCGCAAAAACTCATGAACTACAACATCGTAAACCGAACAAAAGGTGTTATGCATGAGCAGCTGTCATTGGGGGGTGTCATCAACCTGACCTCTTTTGGATTAGTTAATGATTATTTGTTTATTATGTAGTCGAGTTGTTGCGTGACACCTCGCGTGTAGCCATTTTTTTTTAAAATGACAGAAAAAGCTGTATGCAAAAGACCTCGCTAACGTGTAACTCAAAGCTGCTTTGTTTCAGTGAAGCCAATCATGTTCTTCTACTATGTTTTGGACAGCATCACTACATAAAGTTATTTTGTGCTTTTTTTATTATATTATACTATATTATAATTTCCTATACTTTATCTAGTCATTAATGTCGGTAACTGCACTAACAGCTGCAGGTCATTTTCACAGGTGTTTGATTTCAAAGGACTAAGGAAACATTGTTGTATTTCCGAACTCCCATTGAACTACACTTTTATACGTTTATCAGCACGCTGGAGGCCATAGCAGCTGTCACAGGGTGAGAGGTGGGGTACATTCTGGAAAACCTGTCAGAAGCTTTTAAGATAACTGTAGATTTTGGAATCACCTGTAATTGTTTCTAATTGATTGCACATTAGAAGCAGGTGAGTGTTAACATAAATGTTCATTTATACATTTTTTGTAATAAAGTGGAATAAAAACACATACTGGAGTCTTGTGAGATTCAGTTTTTCATATTGTGACTTGTGAGATGCCGTTTGTGGATATAGCTGTCTCTGCCTCTCTGCCGAAAAGTGAATAATTGTGCAGGTATTCCTTCAGTTGTTTGGATGAAACCTCAGTGAATCATTTGAAAGGCGTGATTATTGATGCTTAAGCTGTAAACACAATGTTTTGAATTCCTTTTGTGTTCGTTGTGCCTCGGGAAAAGAGAGTAATCACGTCACAAGAGCCTTCATCAAGAAAAAAGATCAAAGCATTATTTATATATAAAAAAAAAAACGTATGCACATAATAAATGACATGAAGTAATTTACAATACACATAAAGACTAAATTACTCTTTTTTTCCCTTTGACATAACCTACATAACCTCTATTAAATCTGGAAACTGGATTGAAAGCAGGAGCTGAGAAAATCTCATTATTATCCACAGAAAAGTCAATGACTACAAAAACAGTTTGAACACATTAAGTGTACATTTGAAAGTAATTTTTAATTTAAAACGTAAACACTTCAAAGCTTATTCCATAGTTTTTATGTTTAAACAAATGAGCTTTCTCATTGAAAACCCTTCACCTGCCTCAAATGAAGTCACATGATTTACTGTAAAGCAAGGCTTTTCAGGTCCCAAAGAAAAGCATGGCTATTATCTCGTTTTCATCTCTAAGGATGTTTGACGAGTCTACTTCAACAGTCTGGACTAACCTGAAAACATACACGAGATAAAATTAAAGAATCCCATTTGTGGGGTCTCCTGCAGTAACAGCTCCTTGTCAACGAGCCAGTTTAGAGTATGTATAGCGTGCATGTGGGTATATTTTGCAATGACACTATTTCCTCAAACTGTCTGGGGATTATCGGGGGAACCCGAGATGAGGAAGAAAAAAAACTGATGCAACTATTCACAGTACCACATACCACAACTTTTTTTTCTGCTCTTGAGACTCAATGATTTAAATTGAAGAAATACATCATTAACTGCATGCTGTGATCATTTAGACCAGCGTGATTAGAATTCTTCAAAATATTTTAGAGTTTATTGTTGCTAGTTCTAATTTAAGTTTATTAACTTGCTCAAAGAGATGTTACAAATAGATGTTTTTTTACACAAACATGACCTACAAATGATCAGTTTCATAACAGGAGACCATTTAAAACCACTTGCTATAGGAATGAAAAAACAAAAATTCTTTTATATGTTTCATATTTTGTTTATTTTATTAAAAAAACACGCGCACACATTACTATTTACAATATAGAAAAGCTTTCACCTGTTGTTGGGCTGTTTGTCGACAAGATGTAAAGATGCATATAATTCACTGGTACATATAACGGAAAAACAAAGAAAAAAATATGTGATTTTTTTTTACACTGTACATTAACTAACTTTCACAAGCACTGAGTGCGAGCATATCTGCAAGATGAGGTTAATGACAACTATCTTGTAATTGTCAGAGGTTGTTTAAGATAATGGAATTACCATGCCTGAGCTTAACAGAGAAAAAAACGAGCAGCATGGTGCCTTGAACCAGCCAAAACTATAAACAATGTTGAGCATGTGAATTCCTTTTACACAGCAGTGCGCTTTATAACTTCTGTTCACAACTTCACATATGGGATGAGAGCGATGAGGGTGGCTCTGCAAACTGCTTCCAAACATCAAACACACAGTAGAAGTCTGGATGGTGGGATGGTGTCCTAGCGAAGGGATGATTTAGCTGAGAGGAGAGCTCTGATGGGAGAAGATTTCAGGAGCTTCTTAAAAGTCCAGTGTAAAAGAATTGTCCTGTCATGTCCTTTACTTTTTTAAAGCAAAAGTGGGATCTGTTGGCAAAAGCTGTTCCAGAATTCATCTGTGGAATTTGGGATGTCTGCAAGAGTTGTGTACTGTGGCCGTGTGTCGTCTACATCGTCGACTGCAAAACAAAGAGCGAAATCCAAGGTCAGTTAAACCAAGTCATGTGACTTAAAACTGGTAGCATTATTTTGATTGCTAATGTAATCTACAACAAAATCTAACCATATTCATTGATGTTGACTAAATTCTACAATTAAATTCTTAAATTGCTGGCATGGACTGTGGTGTTTAAGCAGCAGCTACATGACAGCTTCCAACTAGCAACATTTACCTGATGAAGACTCACTCCACTGGCTCCCTGGACTGGTGCATGGTTCATTGCACAGGAACCCCCTGTCGTCTAAACTGCTTGTTGTCATCCAGTGTGAAGTTTCTTTCTCCAGTTTTCTGCAAATCTGAAAGAGTAACACTGGATTGAGTATGGCTATATTTGGCCCAACTAGTTTTTCAACACAAAACATGCTTATTAGTGTTTTGGGTATTATTGCATGAGCCAAACCAAGCAGAATAAGACAAACATGGGTATTCCTGTCAATGAAATGTTGCTTTCTAACTAGGGTAAGACCTGTAGGTTATGCTTACCTCAATAATATCTTCTGGACAGTCGTAGTCTGCACGATCACAGCGATGAGAAGGGGAGAAAAACAGAAAGGAACATGAGTATTTAAGTTTCTATTTAAGTTGAATTATTCCAAGCTAAGCCAAAGTCATTTACTAGCAAGTATGAGCTATGTGTTGTTGTCTTACCGGAGCTGTGATCAGGTGAAACCTGAAATCTGTTGATGAAGGAGTCAGGGCCAATCTCAACTGTTGAAGACCAATCAGGAACCTCAGTTGGAAAGAAGTAATCTGCAAAAATGGCAAACAAACGTATTGAGTACACTTTGACTTTTAGATTCAAACGCAATGTTTATCTGAACATTTTCAGTACAGATTTTTCAAACTTGCTCACCTGGCTGTTCTGTCTGCACTGTGCTGTCAACTCTGTTTTCTTGTGTGCTTTCTGGCACCAGTGCAGGGATGGGAGACTGAGTGTCACTGTAGCTGTCTTCCCTCTCTTCCATCTTAACCACTGAATTCTGCAAGAACAAATCAAAGAGAAATTAAGTGAGATGTTTGAAATGAAAATCGAGACATTCAAATCCATATGTGTATGTCTGTTTCCTGCACAGCTACGAAGTAGCATTATTTTACAAAGCTATACATTCAGTATCTAGATCAGTGTAAATGAGGAATATTTTGAGTATGCTATTTAAAAACAAGTGTCACTAGAGCTATAGTAACAGTGATAGCATTTACCTTCTTCCTTCCCTTCGATTCCCTTGATTTAGTCCGTTTATCTGTGCAGAGGAAAGAAAAACATTTTGGTCACTTACTTTCTTTACCACTGAGACTGTAGAGCACATGAATTGAAGATACTGAGCGCAATGTTAATTCACCAAAAAGAACAAACGTTCATTTCCTGTCAGTTTTCTCACCTTTAGATTTTTGACTAGCAGGCAGCATCCTGAAGACGCGCATAGCTTGGTGGCCTTTGTTAATGCTTTTGTCTTTCACCTCCTCAATGTCAGGCAGTGAGTTCATTGCACAGCGGAAGTTGGCTTTCCATGTCTTGGGGTCACAAACTTGGCCCTCTGAATATTTCCCTGTAAAATGCATTGGCACATGCTAGTTTAGTACACTTCCTCATCCTGTAAAGAAGAGTTGTTCTGAACAGGTGGCAGGCTTATTCAGGCTTTCTCACCTGTGTGTTTGGCCCACTCTTTGAACAGACATGCGTCTTTGTCCACCTCCCAGCCATGTCGAGCTGCATGCTTCCAGGGGATGGAAAACATTGTTTTCTCCTGGGAAATATAAAAAAATTTATATATATTAAGTTGGATCGTGGGTAATTGCGCTTACTGAGAGAATGTAATGTGTTATCTCCCAAGCAGAAACCAAGCTTCCGTTCAGCTACCTCATCGTGCCTATTTTCACCTGTTTGAAGTGCCACAGGCATAGCTGTGAAGTGGCTTTAACTATAGCACGCCTCAAAGTAACACTGCAACACTAAGACCCATCCCAAGCTAGTGCTTCAAACCAGGTCAATGTTTGTAACACGCTAATACTGTATGCACAGCAAGGGGACAACATCAATAAAAACATGTGCAGCTTTGCAGAAATCACTTCCCTGTCTCATGGGGAGAGGCATCAATCCTACAACAAATAGATTTCCAAATATCTATTCCTGTACTCTGAATTATCATTACTTATTTGCAGGCAGTTCCTATTTACATGAACCAGTTCACTGTATTATAATAGGATAAGAAAGCTTCTCACCTTGTCAATCCAAGCCAGACCCCAAACTGTATTGGATTCGATCATCTTCTCCAGCCATGGCCTCATTCTCATCCTTGACACTGGCATGTTTGCCTAAAAAGATGCAGCAGCAGAAGAAAGTTTAGAGAAATGCCGTAATGCAGCGTGTGAAGCGCAGCGGTAAGAGGAAATAAACTCCCGCATCTCAGCCCCGGCTTAGATTTACTACTGCTTCTTTGCTGCGCGGGACAGAAGAGTTCATGGCCAGGGCAATCAGCGCGCTCAGGGAGGTGTTTACGTGTAGGAGTCAACGTTAGTTTAGAAAGGTTGGAAGGAACAAGAAGAAAAAATAACTAAAAATAACTCATGCAGTTATGCAGTTATTTTATTAATCCTGTAGCGCAAAAGTTTAAAAATCTAGAATGGTAAGCGAATATTCCCCCCCTAAAAAAGGTTTCTTAATTCCTTAGAGCAAACGAGCGCAACTCAACACAGGCTTGGCAAAAATGTCACAGAATTAAAAAATTCGAGTTTGAAATGTGCATTAAAAACTTTGCATCTATTTGCATGTTATTTAATTCAATGCTCATTCTCAAACACACAGCGTGAGAGAAAGAGAGACTCCTAAAGTAATAATAGATAATATTTTTTTC